TTAACTATTTAATTAAAATTTGTAAACATAGAAGCAGTTTCTATAATTGGCATTAATACTTTATACTTATTTTTTAAATTAAAATAAAAAAATCGCTATGGAAACATAACTGAATTAATAAATAAAATAAAACTAACCGAAGCCAAATTTTGGTTCTCTTTTTAGCTAACCAACGAACCTGTCCCTGCTCACCAGAAACCCTGGGTTTACTCCCGAGAAATGAGGAAGTATTAAAAAAAAAGCACCTCCACTAGATGGCGACTCTAGCAAAAGTTGATTTTTGCAGGAACCGAATGGACCAAAGACAGTCATTTCCTATTAACTAACATATTATAAAACTGAAATTTGAAAAGTTTGAAACTTAGATATCAATACAAATACGAAAAAGAACAAATAGAATATGAGTAGTTTATTGAGTTTTGAAAACTAATTTACCTTTGAACATTAAAGAACACCGAAAAGGTTGTCATGGAGAAATCAAGAACGTACCGTGGCGACATCTAGTTAGATTTCGGGAACTAATGTTTTTTTTTTAATACTTCCTCATTAGACATACCATATCTTGTTCTAAATTTTAATAATAATATTTAAGAACAAGATACTTCATCTGAGAATATAGTATTAATATGATAGAAGTTTATGTACTTGAAATGAAAACAGTGGCAGATTTTTAGTAACGGAAGAGCGGCTCTTTAAAAGAAAGAGTCAGCACGCATGACATTCTGCTTCTTCTCTAATCTTTGCCTTTCTGTTGTTATTTTGTAGAAGGGTTATCGCGACGCATTAAAACGTAATATAACATAATGCTGACATTGAGATAAAACATTATTAATAAAAAGGGTTTACAAGAACACTTACTAGTGATATGACGTCATCTATACTAATATTCTAAAGAAGTAGTTTCTTTTTTAATTTGTTTTGCAGTGCGTAAGTAATCATCGGAAATACTGTGTTTTAACCGTCCAATTTCAAGCTCTATCCCCTTCAAACGACCAGCGATCTCGATAGTGGTTTGTGGAATTACGTAACCTTTAAAGTCGCAGTCGTTTTCGGATCAAATAATAATTTGAATTATAAATAAATAAATATGGAACAACATCATACACATTGATCCGATTCCGAGGTAAGTAGCTTAGGCACTTTTTTTACGGATATCATAAACAACGGGGGGAATACAAATATATACATAATATAAATATAAAACACCCAGACACAGAACAGACATAGATAGATAGATAAAAAGTTTTTTTCTCAGCAACACACAATTACATCACACAAAAGAAACAAAGAGGAACAAGAAACAGAAATATACCTGTGTGTAGCAGTTGAGAAAAGGGTCTAGGCTCGGTGCACTAAAATCATCTAATGCGGATGAAGCACCGATTTTCAGCCATCACCCTGAATGAGATGAGCGGGGACAAAATATATATATATTTTTTTTTAATCGAATGAATAGTAGTAGATATAATGTCAAAAAATAATATAAATAGAGATAAAAATGGTACATAAAAAAAAACGAGAATTAAGAAAATGAAAAAAATAATAAAAAGTAAATAAAAAAAGGCATGTCAAGTATAATTCATGATAAATGATAGCATAGTGTTAGAAGTCAGATATATATTGATAAGAATGTTTATCACAAAAATGTTTGTCTTGGGTGGGGATCGAACCCGCGACTCTCGGGGTAATAGTAGGAACGCTACCGCGCTATTGAGCCCTTTGTATCTATTACTCGTAAGCTTGTAAAGCCAACTTAAATGTGATAGATTATCCTTTTAACTTCGTTATATGTACGTAACGTTTAAAATAAAATAAATATATATGTTTTTGAAAGCTCTTTCCAACGATGCCCCACACTCTAGAGAAGACGAAAAATATATCAACTCCGCTTTACACGCAGGGGAAGTAACTTAGGTTATTCTTTTTAAATTTTACTTTACCACCTCGTCGGCGTAATTTGCGTGTATACTTATGCCAAATTACAACTTTAAAATTTTTAATTGATTGTTTTTGTTAAATGATATCGACTATTGTGCTTATACCTAGATGTTTTAACAGATAATCAAACTTTCCCTCTTTCTAATATTAATTTAGTTTCCTTGGCTTTCTGGACTCGTATAGTTATCAGTTTCACTAAAATTTAAAGGGCTAAATCCAAGTCAAAGTCAAAATAATCTTTATTCAAATAGACTGCTTAAAAGTACTTTTGAATCGTCTAACATTTTTTCCCTACCATTCCTTCAGGATCTTTTGGCTGATAAGAAGAACGAGCAAGAAACTCATCAGCTCTAATAGGAGTTATGACATTCAAAAAAACCATGTCATTACCAGATTAATACATTATAAATAGAGAGAGAAAAAGAAAGTTATAGTCTTATAATGATAACATAATAATTTAACAATAATGGAAACAAGATATTTTTGACTTATAATGAGTTCTGGATCATCTTAAGTCCAAGCATTCTTATCTGTTATATAATCAGATACCTTCTAATAAGCTTTTTAATAAGTTTTTTTAATAGTAGATTTTAACTGCATGATATCTAATTGTTGTATGTTGCTTGGGACCTTATAGTAGAAGCACACACAAAGACCCCTGAATGAGTTATAAACTTTTTGCAGTTTAGTGACAGGCGCCGGTAATTTATTTTTATTTCTTGTATTAAAATTGTGTACATCACTTTTTATAGAAAACAAACCAATATTTTTACGAATGTATTAAGTTCTCGTATATGTATTGAGAAGCAAATAATTATAAGAATAAGTTAAGAAAATGGTGAAGTTACTTAAAATGTATTATTTTTTTAGCTAAATAATTTATAATTATTTTAATAATACAGTTCACACAACAGCTGTGTATTTTTTTAATAAAGAAATTAAAAAAATAATAACAACTAAAGATTAAAGAAGAAAATAATCAGCGCTTATCCAAACTTTTTTTTAAAGTAATTCTTTAATATCATAACTTTATTATCTATGCCGTTAATAAATGGGCCACGTTCCTGCTGCCTGCAGACCTACATACTGGTTTCTATTTGGTGCACTGCAGAGATAATAGCGCACTACAAAATCAGCTGTGTTTACGTAAACTGTATGAAGCCATTTTCTATTTATTTGACAGATCTTGAGGCTGAATGAAATTGTTATAATGCTTTTATATAAAAAAACATAAAAAAATATACTGGTTTTCATTTCTGATTTTAGTTTTTTTTTTAATGATCAGTTGTTGACAGATTGATAAAATTAGGACATTGTGCCTCGTGAAAACTAAAAAAACTTAAGTTACTGAGAATAACTGATATTTCGACTTTTCTTAATTCATAAAACCTGCCCTGTGTGTAAAACAAAGTAACCAAATCTGGATTAGTATAAATAAAATGAAATACTGAAATTACTTTCCCAATTATTATATATAGAAATTTTAAATACGCCAAGTGAATCCGTATATAAACCATTCGCCAATCTCTTGTGCTTACTTAATGGCGATTTACAAAATTTTGAATTTATTTCAACAGAAGTAATCAAGAAAGTAATTAATTTATTCATAAATTATGAGAGCTATAAAAGCGGCGGTTAGGTCTACGGCCGGCAAATACAAAAACGCCTATGGTTAGTGTCATAATGCCGCTAGTTTTTACATCAACACCATCCTATTAAGGTCCCCAGAGCTGGGCTCCAGGCTTCCCTATGGATGAAATCGAAACAAATCGAATAGGGAGAACGGAGAATCCACTACGCACGGCAAGGTACGGATTGATCGGTACTAATGCGGCCAGGACCAACAGGAGATAATTCTTTAGTCACCCATCCCGTGACCGGCCGTTTTGAAAGTTGCTTAACTACAATCCACTGCGCCACCGTACTACAATCTTACTGTAGATCAAATATTTCTAGTTTAATTTGATCTACTGCCCGGTTTTGCATTGAGCTGAAGTTTTGCGCTCACATACATATAACTGTAAAGTTGTTTCTGTAGATCTACTCGTATGTATATTTATGAGAATTTTTTTCTTACATTTGTTGGTTATGATTGAGCTGGCATTAATACAAAATTCAAAAGCTCTTAAAAAAAAAAGAATAAAAATACATAACTTGACAAGAGCTGGGAGGGAGGAGCAAGTATACAAACTCATTGATTTAACGCTGATTTGATGTCTTAACAAGGATTTCGGTCAGAGACAATATCTACAGTCTTCTGTTGGAAGTGGTAGGACCTTTGAAATTATACAACGTTACCCTGTCGCGTACGGGCTCACCAACAAAAGTTTGTTTTTCTTTTTTTAATGAGTAATAATTTTATAAGTATATAAGCCTTTTAGATAATTTGTATGTTTATTTTTGCTCATTTATTTTGGATGTCTTTTGTATGATCTGGTGGAGGTTCTTTTTTCATGAGGTTACTTAAAGTAGTTTCTATGTAAACCTGAAATTTGTGTATTTAAGGAACGCATTGTTACTTTTAAATTATAGACAGATCGACACACAATAGAGCTATATATATAGAATTATCACAATAGAGATAATTCGGAGCTCGAAATGAACCTTGATACGGTCACCCATCCAATACCTGTCCTTTGTGAGAGTCGCTAACATCCGCAATCGCAAATGAAGTAAGCTAACTCATGTTGTCACAACAAGAATTTACGTTATGACCCTTGAAGGAATTAAATCGGCGATTTTGTCGCTTTGTCGATACACTTGAGTATTTCACAGGTTAATTATATTTCTAATATGTATAATTTCATATATAACATATTGATTTTGTAACACCCATAAAATTGAAGTTCAGACCTTATTTAATACATAGCAAATATTTAAAAAATACAATCGAAGATGATTAAAAAAGAGTATCTATTCGGGGCACACAGATTATACAATAACAGGCAACGATTTCAGTTTTCGAACGCGTGTGAACAATTTTTTTGAAAACGGAACGCTAGCTGCGCGCGCATAACACCAATCGACCCGATAGCTCTTATCTTGGCCAGTACACGACCGACCTCCGAGCGGGTTGGCCGTATGCCTATATGGGCGAGCTTCAATTCCCCGGCGCACCTAGCGTCGCCGATGATGAGAGACAGTACAGAGCTCCGTTCCGACGCGCCCCACAGTATAGATGGCCCGCGCCGCAGCCCCCGCAACCGTCGGCCTTCGCCCCCTGGCGTAGAGCGCCCGCACCCCCGCGTCCACCGGACTACAGACGTAGCGCATCGTACCCTGGAAAGCCTGACGAGCCATACCAGGTAAGATGCCTTTGACATTTGCTGAAAACAAACCTTCTGCGTTTTCATAAACTCAACTTCTTTATCGTTACCAAAAATAAAAAATAAAACGGGGCTCAATTTAAAACGGTAAAATTAAACTTTATAAATTATGGTCTTTTTAAAAATTATTGGTAAGGATAAATACAACCTCTTATATTGAAATAATATGATAAGTAAACAAAGTATAAACGCAGTAGGTAAATAGTAGAGCCATAAGTAGAGACCTCATAATCTTGCCAAATCATCACGCCCAAATGCGTATATCACTTTTAAGCGTATATCAGAAAAACATTATAACTTTTTAAATCATAGACTAAACACCTAACGCCGCCTTTTTAATTAAAAAGAAATTTAAAAAAATATTTAAAGGCAAAGAAATTAGATGTTCAAAACACAATATTAAAAAAAATACTACATAATTTAATGAAATATACACTTATACTACATACATAAAATTATGCATTACTTAGTAAATATACAGTATTATTTAAACAGAGCGGAAAACAGCTGTTAACATTACAAACTGATCATAAGCATATTTTCACATAAAAATTTACATACATTTTTAATTGGATTATTAGCAGCGTACAACAAAATTATCCAATAAATCAAATAGTGGTGAAATAAAGAAGTTTCTACTAAAAAAAAAGATACTAAATAACGTATAACATCTGTCAAAGAGTAAAGGATCCCCAGGAGTGTTGGTATAATCAATAAACTGTCTCTCTCACTCAACATTTGCAAGAGAAAGACGAAAGACTTAATACTTGTCATATTGGTCGTTTAACGTGTAAACCTACTTTGACCTAGTTATAGATGATGAACTACTTATTTTACCATATAAAAATGTGTTTTCTTTTTATGTAAAATGGAAATTTGCATGGGTCTTGACATTTTGTGTTATTTATATTCAGAGTTATTTATTTAAACCCAGTTGTATGTACAAGTATTCATTATAACTGTCATTAGTTTAAAACGAAATTATTTATGCAAATTATCAAATTAAGAACCTTTTTTGATCTTATTTTTAAATAGTTTGTGCAACTAGGTGTAAGTAGAGTAAATCGTTTGATAAAGAGCAATAAAAGAAAAGAAATAGTTTATTAAAGACATACGTAGTAGTATGATTTGATTTAAGTAAATGCCTCTGTGTTAGCGACAAACGAATAACCTGTAGCGTTACCATGAGTTTACAATGACCGTACTCGCTAGCGACTGCGTAAATGATTTGCATGGAAAACTGTACAGCGCTCCTAGCGGTCACTTGAGAAACTAAAGATTGCTAGTATGAGTCCTATAGTAAATTTACCTATCGAAAGCCAATCGCTAGCGACTTACGTTTTTTACGTTTTGTAGCTTATCCCATAGAATATCTGTACCATGAGTTACAAATTTGACAAACGTCATCGAGAAATACCGTAGCGACTGTAGTTAACTCTCTCACTTGCAAAACGTAGCGTGAAAACTTATTACTCTTGTTAGAGTATTGTTTCATAGATTATTTTCAGTTATTATTGACCCAAATAATGTCAACTAGGCATTATCTTGCGTGGAATATGTTGTCATAAGCTGCATATGAAGACAAACGACGAGAATAGAGAAAATTTGAAGCGGATATGAGAAATATCGGCAAAAATATCTAGCTCGGTGGCGTAGAGGATAAGCGCCGCGGCCCGCGATCGTTGTTGTTAAGCAACTTTCGTAAGGGTCGGTCACGGGATGGGTGACCAAAAAATTATTATCTTGAGCTACTTCGTGCTTCGGAAGGCACTGACGTAAGAGGGCTGGTGGTGTTGTATGAGAAATATTAGTGAGAAAAATTTTATCAAATAATATAGGCTTAATAAGGAGTGTTTTGGTTAACTAAGGTCACCATTTCTGTTAAAACATTAAAAAGGGATACGTGATACGGATAACAACAAAAATAAATAAATGAATGTAACGGGGTTAGATCTGATAGCATTGGATTAGGTTGTATATTCTTACTATATTTCAAAAATTTCATAAACTACGTCTATTTTAAAAGTTTTATGTTTGATAAATTACAAAAAATAATATATTATTAAAGTCCCGCTAAAATTTACCTTAACCGAACAAAGAGCACTCAGCATTCCTTAACTTTATCTGAACACTTAAACAAATATTTCATCTAAAAAAAACTGGAGGGCTACATTTTACTGTACAAAGTATGTATTGAAGTACATTCCTTGCCGTATATTCAACCAATAACTGTATTTATCATACACTAGTCCGCATTTAATGTTTAGGTATTATGCACAATTTACCAAAACAACCGCCAGTCAAGAAACAGAAACACTTAATGATCTGTCTCAACACGGAAATAACTGAATAAATTCAATAATCAGTTACACTTCGCGTTATGAGAATGATCAATGACGCTTAAAATTAGTAGGGTTTTATCTACTTTTTAAATTTGAAGATCTAAATAGCCAGTTTTTTTGCCCAAAGTCATCCTTTCTCACTCTATTCAGCATAAATAGAACGAGACAGTTTCATTTGGAGTGAAGTTAGGCGCAATATACGGTCACGTAACAAAAACTATTCGAATGTTCGAGTTAACGTTAGCGAGTATAGTAAATGTAAATGTGACTCATGGTACAACTTCTATCGAATACTATTCGAAGTGCGTTTATTCGCTATCGACTGCGGTAACGTAATGAGAATTTTCGATAGCAACTCATGGTAGCGCTACTGTCTCTTTTTATGCAGGCAATACTCTAACATGAAATTAATATGTTCTTTATATAGTTCGAATACTGCAAATTTCTTTGCGTTGAAATTGCTTATTAATATTTTTTTAATTAAATAAGAATGTAGCGTTATATTAAGATGCCTTTGTTTTAGTTATAGTCCGCAATACTGTTGTTTATTAGGGTTTAATTGACAGATAAAGAATCGTTGAAAGTTATCCGAAAACTTGTGATACAATCACAAAAAACATAAACTGTTTACTAATATATAAGTTACACATTAAAATTGTTTTATTTCTGAAAGACGAAAGAAACGGAATTTTCGTCCACATAATTAAGAAGTAAAGAAGTAATTACTTGGGAAAATGTCATGATTTCAGCAAATATTTAAAACTAATAAATGAGAATTTTAATGAAATGAAAACATAATAATAGTACCCTAACTATGAACAGTTCTTCTTTAATTTATTTTTTGTTTATTTAGTAAAAATATCTGTTTAAGTTGTGTATGACATATTCTAAACGAATTACTTAAAAGTAACTTATATTTATTTTGTATATTGTACTTTTTATGACGTAAAATTATATTTCAAATCAATATCGTAATTCCAGAGATAACCTTGTACGTATACAGATTATATAAATAAACATTTAGAGAATATGCTTAATGAAAAGTGCTTAAAAATTCACTTGCCCAAGGTACTGAGTACTCGAACCCACGAACTTTATCAATCCGGGCAGCTGCTCTAACCACTGAGTTACCCAGGACCTAACAGGGGGCCAATTCTATTAAATATTTTTTTTTAATCCTATTCTACAAAGTGACGTACGATACAGTTCCAGTTCTATTTTAGCTGGAATTGTATGTCACTTTGTAGAATAGGAAAACCATTAAAAACTGTAGTTTCGTTCGGTTTCGATCCGTTTTTGATTCGATTTAAACAAAATTTATTTAGTAGAATAGGCCCCCTGGACTGACGAATCTTTGGCCACCAATTGCACTGTCTGTTACATTATTATGTACTGTTAATTTACCTATGGTGTGTACAATTAAGTCTTTCATTGATTCATTCATACAATGTTCAGGCACACAAACAGCCGAAAGAAATATTTTTATAAATATTTAAACTCTTGTAACACAACACCTAGACCCGAGACGATATAGAAAAAGTCCATTTTCCACATTGTTCCGACCGTAATATTCAACCCCAGAGGTTGTAAAGGTCGCCAAAAAAAAATTTTGAAAATCAGTGTATAATTTTGGAGATGAAATCTATACCTATACTAATAATAAAGTTGAAGATTTCATTTGTTTGTACGCGATAATCTCAGGAACTACTGTTTGGAATTGAATTATTATTTTTGTGTTGAAAAGTCTATTTATCGAGGAAGGTAATGAAAAATGTTGCAAAAACGGGAAGCCGGTGGCGGAAAGCTAGTCTGCAAATACTCGTAATACTACTCATACGAATTAACACGACACTAGCATGCCAATCTTCCTACAGTGCTATACACAAGGTTTATCAGAGAAAATTTACATTAAAATTGCAATTTTAGTATTAGTCCAAATCCATATTATACAGACAAAGCAAACCTACTAACTTCTATAAGTGAATATTACTCCAGTAGAACCTCGCACTAGGTAAACCTTTGCCAAGTCTCTGTTTAATAATATGAATTTTGACTAATACTAAGTGCAGTCTCAGCGTAAATTTACCCCAACGCTAAAACTTATTTATTAATAACACTGATAATGTTGCAGTAGCTCGGTGGCGTAGTGGATTAGCGCCGCGGCCCGCGATCGTTGTCGTTAAGCAACTTTCGCAAGGGTCGGTCACGGGATGGGTGACCAGAAAATTATTTATCTCGAGCTACTCCGTGCTTCGGAAGGCACGTTAAGCCGTTGGTCCCGGCTGCATTTGCAGTCGTTAATACCCTCCAATCCGCATTGGGCCAGCGTGGAGGGTCATGGCCCATCCTCCTTAACCATCCATAAGGAAGGCCTGAGCCCCAGTGGGGACGTAAAAGGGCTGATGATGACTGATAATGTTTAAGTTATAATCGCATATAAATAGGATCCCAACTACTTTATTTTGCCAATATCTACCTGAAGTCCAATATTATTAGTGTAATATCTTCCTCACATATCAACGGACAGATATATATTTATTATAGTTATAATCTAGTAACAAGAGCTGTGTCATGAAGGGTTGTTTTTGGAGCAATATTGACTTTACATAAATACTATGACATTAGCTAAATTGCCAT